GAAGTTAAACTGGATTATTTATAGATTTTCTGATTACAAAATTTTAGAAATGGTTAGGAAAGGAAAGGAAAATTTTCTCATTTCTTTGACGTTCCTGGGTTGTTAGTGACCTAATCCCGTGTGTTGTCTGCCACTGAGTAATGTAACCACCATATCCTGAAAGGGGGAAACTTGTTCTCATTTCACCATCAGAGCAAAGTTTCTATTTTCACATAAATCTTACTTAATAAATCTGTAATGGGGCATTACTCATGAAAGGCATCATATCTCTTTTTCTACCATAGTAATTTTGTTTTTGCCTCTCTCAGTTGTTTCTGTTTCACACATCCTGAGAGTACTTGACTATTGACAGACCCTAATCCCCTAAATACGTGAACAGAAGAAAAAAGGGGGAAAAGAAGTTGTGTGCTTCTGTGTATTGGAGAAGGGAGGCAGATTCTTACAGGAAACGTGTGTGGCACACAGTGTACTAGGTACAAGGTACTGTGCTAAGAACTAGAATTAAACAAAAATTGATTAACATACCGTATTCTTCCAAATCTCAGGATCTGCATCCATGCCCTTCCCTTTGTCTGAAGTCACTGGTTCCCACTTTACCCCATAATCCCTCCAGTATTATCTTTCCTGGGATCCCAAATTAGGCTATGCCATTCATTTATCTGCTACCAGAGCTCCCTGTACTTTTCTGTTGTAGATCCTAATTTAATTTACTCAAAATAATATGCAATCTTTCTTTCCTTTTAGGTTGTAAGCTCCATGAGGGAAGTACTCAGGTTGTTTGATTCATTAAGCTAAGTCCCAGGTACTGAGGACCAGCATACAGTAGCAGCTAGAAATAAACATTTGCGGCCGGCGCCGCGGCTCACTAGGCTAATCCTCCGCCTTGCGGCAGCAGCACACCAGGTTCTAGTCCCGGTCGGGGCGCCGGATTCTGTCCTGGTTGCCCCTCTTCCAGGCCCTGCACCCCATGGGAGACCAGGAGAAGTACCTGGCTCCTGCCATCGGATCAGCGCGGTGCGCCGGCCGCAGTGCGCCGGCCGTGGTGGCCATTGGAGGGTGAACCAACGGCAAAGGAAGACCTTTCTCTCTGTCTCTCTCTCTCACTGTCCACTCTGCCTGTCAAAAAAATAAAAATAAAAAAAATAAACATTTGCTAGGTTAACATATCAATAAGTGAATAAATGAGCATTATTCATGACCTGAAAGTGCTTCCAGTCAAATAGAAAAGCAAAAGAGAAAATTTTTTGCCAGTCACCCTCTTAAGTGTAGGAACAAGATGTGACTGGGGACCACATGGAAACAGTTTTAATGCTAATGTTGGTATCAGTGAAAATGTCCTGAGGAGATGATGGGTAAAGCTTAAAGACTGAAGAGTTGGGTCAGGGAAGGTATTTCTGGAGGGAAACAGGTGATCAAAGATAGAACTGTTTACATCTACAAATGGAGTAAGTCTAGAGTTCATGGCATCATAAGTGTATGGAGTTCATAAGAGAATTTCCATTCACTGAGACTTATGCTTATAGGACACACAGTGAAGTCAGAATCATTCCTTCTTCTTAGGACCCTCAAGAAGATCCATGGTACTTACATTTAATGTGCTCTATAAATACACAACATGTTAATATCTTACAGAATAAGCAATATTCATTTCTGAATTCCATTCATATTGCCTTTTTTGAGGGGGAGAATAGAGGATTTGCTTCTGAGATAAAAATCTTCAGAATCCCTCATAGTCTGCTAACAGCTGGTCTACAGCCATAACAGCAATTCCTTTAGAATAAGCCTGAATGATCTCTGTAGGTATAAAAATTATGTTTATAATGGTATTAACTATTATTGTCTATCATTTATTATATGCCATGTATTTCTTAATATTTTACTCCTACCAACTTTAATCCTCAGAACAACTCAACTAAATTATTGTTATGATGCCATCCAGGTGAAGAAACTGAGGCACAGAGAAATTAAAAAACTTGCCCAAGGTCACTTAGAAAATCATCGATGAAGCCTGGCTTCAACCCAGGCTCTCTGACTCCAGAGCCACACTCTGCAGCTTCCTCCCATTATGCTGTGGTTTCTCCTGAAATTTTAATGCCTCTTTTTGGAGCTAAGACCTATAACCTGTTCATTTTCAGACATCTCATAGAATTCAGAATTCAAAGCTGGAAAGGCCCCAGGAAAGAACCCAGTCTAATCACCATTAGTATTATTGGACAAGAAGCTCTTAGTAGGAAATCAGTGTTTCCCAAAGAGAACCACACATACCACTGAGTACGTGCTGGGTGAGTTCAAATAGACATATGCAATGTTTTCATTTTAATAGCTATTAAAAAAACTTTTGCATGTGTCCTAAATAAGATAATTAATATAATGATTTTCGTTTTTCATCATAAGAAATATCAAACATATATCTGCACAATTATACAACTTATCTATCCATGATGTAACATAAAACTTGTTTCACTTATTTAGTGGTTTATTCATCAACAAATATTCATCAAGCTAATATGTCCCTGGTGCTTGCCATAAATAAACAAACCGAAATCTCTCTCCTTCAATAGCTTACGTTTTGTAAATGACTTTTTTAATTGAAAGGCAGAGAGAGAGAGGGGTAAACGCTGTGGCACAGTGGGTTAATGCCCTGGCCTGAAGAGCTGGCATCCCCTATGGGTGCCAGTTCTAGTCCTGGCTGCTCCTTTTCCCATCCTTCTCTCTGCTATGGCCTGGGACAGCAGTAGAGAATGGCCTGGGACAGCAGTAGAGAATGGCCCAAGTCCTTGGGCTCCTGCACTCGCGTGGGAGACCGGGAGGAAGCTCCTGGCTCCTGGCTTCGGACTGGTGCAGCTCCAGACATTGTGGCCAATTGGGGAGTGAACCATCAGATGGAAGACCTCTCTCTCTCTCTCTCTTTCTCTCTCTGCCTCTCCTCTCTCTGTGTAACTCTGACTTTCAAATAAATAAAATAAATCTTAAAAAAAAAGAAAGGCAGAGAGAGGAGGGGAGAGGTAGAGTAGGGCAGGGTAGAGGGAGGGACTATCCTGGTAGAGAAATCAGAAGATGGTTTGCAGAGAATATACAAAGAACAGAGATGATCACAACTGATTACTTTTTGTTACACAACTTACACTTATGTGATGGTGATTTGGAAGTTAGTGCTGGTTGTGATTGACTGTTTGGCACTAGATGAAGGCAGAGGCCAGTAACTACACAAAGCAGGATGCAGGCTTTCCCTGGAGAGGACTGGAGATAGTGCCAAGTGCTGGGGCAGAGCTGCAAGGCTTTCCTTGGCCACCTATTTACCGTCAGGTTAGTTTTCTTAAAATAAGTCCCTGGCATCAAGGGCAACCCCATGCATGAAAAAGTCCTCTTGTGTTTTAATATTAATTGCTTATGAATGAGTAACAAGCAATCATTGCTAACATTCGTTGAATTCTTACTAGGCACTAGACATTATTCCCATACTTTATGTACATCATCCCATTTGATTTCTCACAATGACACTTGAGGTTCTATGATTACTTCCAGTTTACAGATGAAGAAACATAGGTTCAAGAAAGTTAATTAATGGGTCCTAAATCATACCTACAGTAAATACTGGCACCAGAAGTAGAGACTAGATGGTCCCTGAAACCTTTATTAATCCCATTTCAAGCTGTAAATAACTATGGGATTTCAGATAAAGATCATCTCCATCCTCTGGAGAGGTGGCAGCAAAGTGTAGCAGTCGGGAGAGCAAATGGTAGTGTTAGAAGAGTCAGTTTTAATTCTGGCTCTGCTGTTTATTAGCCAGGCAAATTTTGGAAGTTTATCTAACTCCTCTAATATTAATGTCTTCAACTGCCAAATTTTTTAGCACATTTAATCTCTTAAGGATTCCATGTCTTTCCCACCACCACTACAATCATCATCACCATTATTACAGCCATCGCTTGTTTAATGCTTTCTTTCCTTTGTTTTTCTTCTACCTGAAACTGCTGCATTCTTCTCTTGTATGTTTATATTAGGTGGTGGCTACAGTGAAACACTGCACTACTAATAGTACTAATTATAGAAAATATTTGTTGTACACTTACTACAAGCCAAGTGTTTTTAGAGAATTATCTCAATCCTCACAAGTGGATGGGATACACAACAGCATCATCTATAATTTATAGTTAGAAACAGAACTTCTGTAGACTCAACACTGTTGATTTCACTTCCCTTTTTCCCACCTACCACCCCGACTGCCAGTTGGTTTGGGAACTCTAAAAGGGCCTCTATGAAAATGGCATGGAATTGCCTGCTGGCAATTAAACACTCCAGTAGTTTGACACTAGAAAGATTTGGAACTGTCCACCAACAGGTGCTGCTGAGAATCCTGCTTGTTTGTAGGAACCTCACTCCTCTGTTCCAGTTTATCTTTTCTCAGAGGAGTGTTAAATACTTCCAGGTTCTCTTCAGAGAGGAGCTGGAAAAACAGCGAAACCAAGTGATTCACCTGAGAATAAGCCAGGAGCACTGAAAGAAAAAAAATCAGCTTATGAATCTTTTGCAAAGTCCAACCACTCACCTGGCTTTTTAACAACCTTGAGTGCTATTGAGTAGAAGATGCTTCAGAAAGGACAAATTTGGAGTAATGATCATCTGCTGTCACAATAATTTTCTTCACATTTGTCGTCATCTTTTCTGATAGCAACTTTAATGCATTTTATTGGAAATCCATAGAAAATGCCAAGTACAACTAAACTGTTTTATACGTTTCAATCTCCACTTCATTTCAGTTTAATTATTATCTTCCATGCGTATGCACCCTAGCCCCATCTCTGACGACCTGGAGTCCAGGATCGGAGACCAAGAGCATCATTTCTCAGAGCGCCAGCCCCAACTTCGCTCCCCTCCAGCCCCTGCAGCTCGCTTCTCCCATCTCCCCTCCTCTTAGCCCGTGGCTTACCATTGGTCGTTGCCATGACAACCAGCAGCTGCTGGGCCGGCAGCCTCTACCGCAGCAGGGGTGGGGCCGTGGGGGAGGGGGAGAGAGATGGGGGAGGAGTCAGAGGAGGTGTCTGCTGCAAGTTCCTGGCTGCTTCTGAGCTCACCCCATCCTCCTAGAGGGAGGAGGCCCAAATGGTGATGCTGCTGCTGCTGCCGCCGCCGCTGCTGCCGCCTCTACTGCTGATACTCTAGCGGGGCTGGAAGGGTGGTTCCCATTCGCACCGTCGCCAACCAAAGAGGGAGGGGAAAAAGACCAGCAGCCGCTGCTGATGTTGGGTTCGGAGGCTGCATCCGAATCGGTCACAGGGAAAATGGATTCAGTTTGCATCTCTCCCTCCTTTCAGCAGCTTCTCCGGGTCTCAGCATGGTGAGTCTGAGACAGTGGGTCACCCTTCTTGGTTTAGCTTGTTATTACATGACTTATATATACGTGTGTGGCCTGGACATGAACAATGACTCCCATCCCTGAGTCTGAGTGAGGAGGAGGGGGGTGGGGATATGGAGACAGAGATGGGGATGGAGAGAGAGGAAGGCTGCCAGGAAGAGGGAAGTGAGACGGCATCCGTTTGCGTGTGTGTGTGTGTGTGTGTGTGTGTGTGTTTAATGGTGTTCTGATTTTGTCTTGAACTGGCTCAGACTACAGACAGAGCCAGTTGGTTCCTTTCCTACCAAGCTTAGCAACAGAATGGGGAGGGGGGGCTTGTGGAAAAAGAGCTAACCAGGAGGAAAGGGTGTTATTGAAAGGAATCAATTCATTTGCAGCTCTCACATACAGCTTTGGGCCTTCCTCAAAAACACCTTTGGTATCTTGTAAGCTTCCTGGACTAATTTTAAGGTGATTTGGCTTATTTTTCTTCACTGCTAAGAAAAGGTGGCTCCAGAATTCAGCATTCTATTTCATATTTGAACGTACTGTTGTTGAGGAACCATTTGCAAGATCCAGAGTTTGATTTGAGGACATAGGTTTGGTTGTGAACATATACACCATAAGGATATGCATATCATCCATACACACGTTCCCCAGCATTTACATTGCATTTATGAAGAGTGCTTATATGCAGTGTGCTTTGCAAGCGTTTTTGTGGGTTATAAATGTCCCTATATATTTGGAAGTAATTGCATATTTTTTGAAACAGTTTCTGGCTTGTATTATTATTCATTGGCTTCATTTGGATTAATGTGAGATTTATTCCCTTAGTTTCATTGTGACCCATTAGGACAGATGCTTATCATTCGATCTGTATCATACAACTAGATGCCAATTCATAGCTTGCCTCTTTATTTTTAATTGGATTTGAGGGGAGTGATTTTGAGGGCCCTGAATTTACAGCGGTGGTAAAGGGACATGGCTTGTGGTATTATTTTGCATCCAGCATTTTGCCAATGGAATGTTTAAACAAATTGGTTTTCCTGAAATTCTACTTCAACCTTTTTATGTCTGAGCCTTGTGTCCCGAGAAACACAGCTGAGCTGGGAGACGAAATGCATTCATTTGGTTTTAGAGTGCTGCTATTCGCTGTTCATTCCTTCAGTATCCAGGCACCATTTTACTGTTCTCTCAAATGTTGTGTTATGGTCTGCTTCTGTAAGTGGTTAAGTAGGAAAGTAGGATTATTTTGAAAATTTAGGTGTCCCCATCTACGCTAGCCTAGCCATTTCCAAATTGGCCTGCTTATACAATGAAATGGAAAAAAAGTGAGCAAGCGTTAGCAGGGAGAATGTGGGACTTGTAGCTGAAATGGGGGGGGGGGTGATTGTAGTTTACAATGCATGCTAGGATCAGCTTGACCTTTTATTATGTCAAGGCTTTAAGGCAACTCCAGGGGACTAAGCATGCCTGAGATGAGTAGTATATACAGCTCCATTACAGGATAATGGATGTTGTTGAATTAAAGCCAGGACAATCCCTGCAGGTAAAAGTGAATTAGTAATATTACATTCATCGTGTACGCTTTTTTTAATCCATCAGCCTCTTTTCTAATATCGTTGTCAGTGCAAACTTTTTTATGTTGTAATTGTTTTGCTTTAATCTTGCATTTTATTTCATGCACTTTTCCCCTTTCCATTTACAATTTTTACAGATCTTTGAATCAGGTTTATAGCTTAATTTCTCTGAAAATAATTGTCCTGTTTGGTACATACATGGGAAGCTTTGTTAGTGACTTTAGTTAATATTTTCATAACTTGCCATAGATTATATAGATTCATAACTCTCTAAACTCAGGTTCCATGTGCCTAATTGTAAAAACTACATTAAATAGGACAAGGAAAGAAGCACTGGGCTTATATGTCATATCAAAAATTTTATAATACACCATATCCTGAATCTTTTAATGATAATTCGACTTCCAAAATTAAAATTTCAAATATATCTACAGTAAACTTGAAAAAATTAAGACACATAGTAGCTCACCCTCGTTCATGCAATGAACAGATATCCTGGGGCTTTGTTTTTATGTCTTTTGTTTGAATGTGGTTTCATAGGCAAAGTTGGTACAGTTTGATGAGAGGCAAATCACCACAGGCCATGGGTTTAGAAGTCACTGTAAGTAGACTGTTTCAGGCCAGACACTGATGTGTATACAGATCTAGGTTTTGATCCTGCAACTTAAGATGCTTATGAGGCCTGTCTGAGGGGCCACCTAAAAATAAAGTATATTTTAAGGATTGCAAATTGAACTCTGAGGAAAGATAAAAAAAAGTAGGATTATTTTGTTTGAAGAAGAGACAAATGAGAGGTGACAAGCATTTGTTTGTTTCAGATAACCAGATGGTTTTATCTGGGACATTGCTTATTTTTATTTTCTTAGAAACTAAAATATGGCCAATGAAGATTAGAAATATAAAATATAGAAGTTCCTTGTTATATGTGTGTAGTCAGCTGGGTACTCAGATAAGGCAGTGTGCTCTTTTCTCATTGAAACCTCCAGATGTACTATCTGGATATGCATTTGAGATGAACTAGATTCTTGCTCCTCTGGATTTTTCTAGAGTAAATTATCCATTGAAGATTATGTTTTGGCTGTTTAGCATTAGATACTTCTATACTTGTAACAGTAACACCACATATTGTAATGGGCTTCTAAGTACCAGAATTTGGACACTTCTAAAGAAACAGATTGATCATCTACCTGCAGAAATTTGTGAGTAATCCCAAAATGCAGGGAACTGCTCCTTGTCCTGTTCATAAGAGATTTTCTTTCTTATCTATGATGCCAAATATGATATTATAATTACTCCCTATGGTTAATTCTGAAATGTGCAGTTTGTTATTTATTGAAATATAGATATAGAAAAAGTCAAGAACCATTAAGTAGAAGTCAGAAAAAATTATATGGAAGATACATGGAAATGATTGCGTAAATGTGCTGTTTAAATGTGTGCTGTTTGAATAATCAGTATATTTTACTCTTACACTGTATGGAAAATGCCATTCTTGGTGGGGTATACTTTGACTGATATGAAAGACTGTGGTAAAACTTGTTTTAATTAAAACACACTTTTTTTTTTTTTGCTTTGTAACTGGATGTTTCTTATTTTTTCGATTGGCATTATAATATATTTCAACTTTATGTACAGGCTACAAGTGTCTTTCAGGGTGACTTAGAAAATATTGGGAAAATAAAGACTGTTTCCTACATTTCTCATTGGTTCATATAGAGGTTATCACTTTGTTTCCAATGGTTAGAGCCTAAGTGAAAATCAGATTTATCACTGAAGTTTCAATGTAACTCAACAGAGGCTTTTATTGAAATCAACAAACTAGATTATGCTTGGTAGTTCCTCTGAGAAGTCCAGTTACAATTCTCCCTGTTTACATATCATTCTATCAAGTGAAAATGTGTTTTCAAACAGAGAGAATTAATCAATTGAGTGATAACTATTTGCAGAGCTCTTATATGCTCAACAGAATTTACATATGCCAGTAGCATAGAATTTCCTTAGAGGATATAAGATATACACATGTAAAATAGATACTGACAAAAACAATATAATTATAATTAGTACCATTATTATGCCTTACAATAATGTAATATTTTGTAGTTTTCAAAATCATTTTCCATTCTTTTTTTCATTTTATATTTCAAACAATTCTATCCTATCAGCAAAGTTGATATCATCATAATTATGTTAAATAAGTTGAAGCAGATTCTGGGAGATTGAACTTGGCCTAACTTTAGTTTGGTAAATAGCCTACTTGAGCCTGGATCCCAAGTTTCATGAGCCCAAATCTATCATGTTATAAACTATAACAAAATATCTGTCACTTTGAACTATACAGCATATAAATTCTATTAAATCTGCTTTTTTGACTTATTTTTATTTGTATTTTCATTTGAGTATTTCAGGTATCATGGTTTGTTTTTGATCATGTTGAATTGACAGATAGATTAAGTGTGTACTTAGGGTATCCACCTTTAAAAAAATGACTCTAAATAGTTTGGAGAAAATGTGGGCTTCTTCATATTTTATAAGAGCATGGATGTATTGGAGTGAAAATCAGAACTTTGTTGGACTCAGATGTACTTACTTTATAGCAAAGCATTGTTTTTTATTTGTTATGACGTAGACATTTGGAGGTAACATTGTTTTAGGTATTTAGGACCAAATTAAGATTCTTGCAGGTCCTCAATCTTGAAAAATATTCTACTGTCTCCTACTTTTCTGAACTGACCATCCTTCCTTCTACAGATTTTTAGAAATACAAATACAGCTCATAAAACAAGTGTACAATATAAGCTCAACGATGTTACAATATTTTCCTGGAGAAATACTTCTATACTTTTCTGCAATATCAAAAAGGGAATATTTTTTCTCAGAATATTCTAATTATTTTTGTCAGCCTTTCTTTTTTTATGCCCCAGGAACATACTTTGACTACTTGGTTATTCAGACCTGGCCAAATAATAAATTTTTCCATCTGAATTATTGTAATTCCCCATTTGGGAAAAAGTGTCTTTTATTTTTATTAATTAGCTTACAGTAAAAAGAAGGCCTATCACCCTAAAGACATTCTGTTTTTAATAATTATTCAATAATACAATTAAATTTTATTTTTAAAATTTTTTTTTCATGTTTAAAAATAATACATCATTGGCCGGCGCCACGACTCACTAGGCTAATCCTCCGCCTGCGGCGCCGGCACCCCAGGTTCTAGTCCCGGTTGGGCCGCCGGGGTTGCTCCTCTTCAAATCCAGCTCTCTGCTGTGGCCCAGGAGTACAGTGGAGGATGGTCCAGGTCCTTGGGCCCTGCACCCACATGGGAGACCAGGAGGAAGCACCTGGTTCCTGGCTTCGGATGGGCGCAAGGCGCCAGCCGTTGTGGCCATTTCGGGGTGAACCAATGGAAGGAAGACCTTTCTCTCT